TTTCAGACAAAATGGTCAAAGTGGATATTTTGACCCCAAATTTTGTGAATATGCTCTCTATAATTTTCTCCGATTTTCTCCGAAATTTCAGCGAGATTGGTTCATTTTCCGCGGGTTTGCGAAATTTTCTCCATTTCTCCGAATTTTTCTACATTTTGGTGAATAACCCCATAAAGAAAACCTTATACTCGCATTTCAAAGATTCCCTACGAGACCTAGCTAGCAAAAGACATGCGCCTTGAAAATAGATTACGGTACTTCATGTTTTTTTCATAAAATTTTCAACTAATTTCATAGTTTTTGCTATTTATAGAGTAGTTGAGAAGTCCTGAATTTGAAATTCTTGCAGTTTTTTCTTTTATTTTTTCTTTTACTAAGTTTCTAATTACCGGTTCAGGCTCTAATTTTTTCTCACGAACTTTTAAATGGGAGACACTTACCTCAGGTGTGTTTTGCGGTGACAGTTGTTACCGTGTTTTCCGATATTCCTGTTTTGCTTGCGATTCGGAAGTTCGAAGCTGACTTCCTCTCCTCTCCATTTACTTTCTCTCTCTCTCTCTCTGTTCTCGTCAGCCTATTCACGGAATCGGGAGAAAAATGTTTCATTCAATCCGACCTCTTTCTGTTTGCTTTCTTTCTTCGATTTCATGTGACCGTTATGTATTTTCCTTGTTGCATTTTAGCCTTACATTGTTCAAAATTTTATCTAAAAAATGTCATGAAGTCTTATTTTTTCTACTCCGTTCTCCCTTTCCCTCTAACCGGGTGTAATATTTCGTAACCATGCATTCCTCTATATTGTCGCTCTTTTTTTCCTTTTTTTTAGTTTTCACTCACTGTTCGCTGACTTTAACCGGTTCGCTTAACTGTTCTCAAAGAAACCCTGTATTTCTTTGAAATTTATTTTTTAGCTTGGGCAATTCAAAAAAAAACGTCACCATCATGTCGGACGCAATTGTGAAACAGATCGAAGAGCAAGGAAACGAAGTTCGTCGTCTAAAAGGCGACAAAAGCTCTACCGAGGTCTGTGAAATTGAACTCACAATTTTACTGAAAACCCAAAAAATTCCAGGATGCCAAAAACGAGGCAATTCAGAAGCTTCTTGCGCTGAAACTGGCCTACAAAGAGGCCACTGGTCAGGACTACGCCGCTCCAAACGCCCGCCAGTCGAAACCAAAGAAAGAAGAAAAACCAAAGGAGAAGAAACAACAACAGGAGAAGAAGCCAGATGGAAAAAAACAAACTCTTCTGGGAGTTGGAACGAAGAAAGATGAGAACTATTCGGAATGGTATTCCGAAGTGATCACCAAAGCCGAAATGATTGAATACTATGATGTATCTGGTTGTTATGTCCTTCGTCCATGGTCATTTGCTGTTTGGGAAGCTATCCAAGCATGGTTTGACTCGGGAATCAAAAAACTTGGAGTCAAGAACTGTTACTTCCCAATGTTTGTGTCTAATGCTGCTCTTGAGAGAGAAAAGACTCATATTGCTGATTTCGCACCAGAAGTCGCCTGGGTTACAAGAGCCGGACAGTCTGAGATGGCTGAACCAATTGCTATTCGTCCAACTTCTGAGACAGTCATGTATCCATCGTACAAGAAATGGGTACAATCTCATCGCGATTTGCCAATCAAGTTGAATCAATGGTGTAATGTTGTGGTTAGTGAAAAATTTAGGCAGTTGTGAAAAAAAACTTGAATTTTAATTTTCTGTTTAGCGCTGGGAGTTCAAACACCCAACTCCATTCCTCCGTACTCGTGAATTCCTCTGGCAAGAAGGTCACACCGCCTTTGCCAATCCATCTGACGCCGAAAAGGAGGTGTTCCAGATTCTGGATCTCTACGCGGGAGTCTACAATGATCTTCTGGCTATTCCAGTTGTCAAGGGAAGAAAATCCGAGAAGGAAAAGTTTGCTGGAGGAGACTTCACCACCACTGTCGAGGCTTACGTCGCATGCAACGGACGTGGAATTCAAGGGGCAACATCACATCATTTGGGTCAAAACTTCTCAAAAATGTTCGATATCTCTTATGAAGATCCAGCGAAGGAAGGAGAGAGGGCGTTTGCTTGGCAGAATTCATGGGGATTGTCTACTAGAACCATTGGAGCAATGGTTATGATTCATGGAGATGACAAGGGATTAATCCTTCCACCACGTGTTGCTGCTGTTCAAGTTATTGTGGTTCCAGTCGGATTCAAGACTGAGAACAAAGAGTGGTTGTTCGATGCTGTTGATAAGGTCACCAAGGATTTAGTAGCTGGAGGAATTAAGGCTGAGCATGATTTGAGGTGAAAATTGAGATTTTTAGTAGGAAAAATAGGCTTTTAGTGACAAAATGGCTCAAAAAATTCAAATCAGACGAGAATTAAATTATTCTGATTTCCAGGGAAAACTATAACGCTGGCTGGAAATTCAACCATTGGGAGTTGAAGGGAGTTCCAATCCGGTTCGAAGTTGGACCAAACGATTTGGCAAAGAACCAGGTCACCGCTGTGATTCGTCACAATGGAGAGAAGAGACAGATGTCGTTGGATGGGTTGAGTGAGGCTGTGAAAACTCTTTTGGATGAGATCCATGATGCTATGTACCAAAAGTAAGTTGAGCGAGTTAGAGGCTGTCTGGCAATGATGACTTCTCGAATATGTACTTCTTGCCAGTTTTCTAATTTCGTCTCTAATCCATTCGTTTCTTCCAGAGTTCTCGCCCAACGCGACTCTCATCTCAAGACTACTACGTGTATGGAAGAATTCAAGAAGCTTCTCGACGACAAATGCATCATCCTTTCCCCATTCTGTGGTCTTCCAGAGTGCGAAGAAGAAATCAAGAAGGCGTCGACAAGAGAAGACGGAGAAGGTGCCCAAATGGGAGCTAAGACTCTTTGTATTCCATTGGAACAGCCAAAACAAGAACTTCCATCCAAGTGCATCTTCCCATCGTGCTGCCATGCAGCCAAGGCGTTCGCTCTTTTCGGAAGAAGTTATTAAATTGTGTCAGACTAGTGAATTCGGAGAATCCAAAAATGATCGTATTTTCCACTGTTTCTCCCTATTTTTCCATTTGAAATAAGCATAGTATTTATTCTGTTTTGTTATTTATTCCTTCTTTTTTTTTTCTGGTGTTGGTTTCTATTTCCTCATATTTTCCCCAGATATCCTACTGTTTCGAGCATTGCTCTTTTTTTCGCTTCATTCTTGGTAATAAAATAATAAGAAAAATTCTATTTTCCACGTGACACTCTAGAAAAATTACGTAGATTTCACGAATTTTTACGTGACCCATGCCACGCTCGGTGCCACTTGAGAATGGAGCCTCGCGGAACTATTTGGCTGAGGAGCCGACTCGTGTTGGCTGGGAATAACCAAGCGATATGACGTCATCAACGTCAAGTGATTCTTCGGGTGATGAGAGGTAAATTTAAAACAAACCGCTTTTTTACTAAATTGATTATCCCCAACATGTTGCAGAAAACTCCCATCCGCATATCGCCTGAGCAACACTACTTCGAAGGCTTCAAGAAGACGTCGTCGCCATTCTTCTACTTCTTCGTCTCACACTTCTGATGCTTACGATTCTGATGTAAACCAGAAGAATCGGGAAAGAAGCAGACGACGTGGAGGAAAACATGATGCTAGGGAGAGAAATGAAGCGAAGGGGCGGAGCCAGAAAAGGAGAAAAAAGAGAGATCGACCAATGTGGAGAGAGGAGGGAGAGATTTCAAAGTAGGGAAAATTTTTGAGAATTCTTGAGTTTCTAACTTAGATACTCAGATATTCAAAGAGAAATCTTAAAAATATGGTGTTTTAAAATTATTTAACGACCAGCAAATCAAAAATTTTCAGTGAATCCGAACCAGAGCACTCATCCTCCAGTAGCTCAAATAGCAATTGGAGCAACAACCATTGTCGTCAAAATAGAAGAAGATCAAGAAGTAGAGAAAGAGATTACGGAGTAGATAGATTCAGAAGTCAAGACTATCAGAATTCAGGTGGTCGACGAGTCGAAAGATCCAGAAGACGGCGATCACCACGAGAGACATTCAAATGTAACGAGTGTGGATGTACGCTTTTTTCAATTAAGGTATAACTATAACGTATAAGAGCATTTTTGCCGAATTTTTGAAAAAAGTGTGCTCTGATAGCTTTGACTCTGTAATAGAAAGTGCCTCCAAACTGTTAACTTTGTCCGAATTTATCTTCGTTTTATCTTTTCGGTCAGAATCAGCTATAAAATCAAATTTCGCTAAATGTTGAAAGTTGCCATTAGGTTTTTCTTGGAGGAAAATTGAATTACCGAATGAAAGGACTCACAATCTCATTTTAGCTTTACCTGACATTGCCTGGCACCAGAACGTTCTAAAAACTTTCTATGAAAAAGAGTTTTTACTGAAAAAAAAACCCAAAAATGAATACAAAGGGACGAAAGTCGTGAAAAATCAAAATTTCAGGCCCTAATCCATCATCAAATGAACGATCACAATCTTGATGCGCAGTGTCATTTGTGCCAGAAGAAATTCGAAACGAAGAATTCGTTCAGAGAGCATTATGAATCGAAGCACACTCAGGAAGTGGTATGAATGCTGAAAGTTTGAATAATCGAAAAAAATAATCTGAAAAATTGTGATCCTCTTGAAGAGTCGTTATTTTTCGCTGGTTTTGAAAACTGAAAAAATTCGAATTTGGTAAATTTCCTCTAAAAATTCAAATACTTTCTCAGGTGAAATGTGTCTTCTGTAAAAGCACATTTGATAAGCCACTAGAGATGAAAGATGACAAGTGGACCGAATTCTTCGCGCATCTTTATGGGGTTTGTTTTAGAAAAAATTTTGTCGTCTATTAATTTTCGGAAAACCTGAAATCGAGAAATTCTACAATTGTATAGTTCACGAACTCAACAGTTGTTTGATATTTAAATAATAGATTTGCATTTCGAAATTTTTCTTTCACAATTTTTTTTCAGGAAATCCTCTACTCCCGTCTTGCCGAACATGAGGAACGACGAGTTGGCAAATGAATCTTTTTAATGGTTCAATTTTTGAACGATGTTAATCCCCAGTTTTATCTTATTCGATTAGTGCCACAAATCAGCCCGAAATAGATTATTTTCAAGTGTTTTTTTCTCAACAACGACAAACAGAAAATTGTACTTCGATTCCACCTTTTGCAAAATGCTCGTATGTCCAGAAATTTTCCGAAAATGTGAGCAACTCAGAATAAGAAAACTCAATTAATCACCCATGGTGACAGGTGTGCACTTGTGCTCCGGACTGATTTCATTAATTTTTGGGGATTGGAAAAAGGGGCGGAGCATCGAAGAATAGTATAAAAGAGGGACAGAAGGGACCAGGGTCGAGAATATTCTAAAAATTTTTCTCACGAGGTTCTGGTTTTTTGTTCTGAAAAATGTCGTCCAAAGCTGTTCCGCCGGCTCCTGCTGCTCTCAAGGTGAGGCATACAAAAGATTAGATTCATAATTCAGAAGAATCTGCAATTTGAAAATTCGTGAATTCTAAATTTCCTATAGAGGGGCATGACAACAAGTTTTTGAGATTTGAAATTCAGAATTTTACGATTCGAATCTGAGCTCAATTGATGAATTCTAATATGTTAGAATTTCCCTGAAACTCTGAGACTTAGATTCCCGGAATCTGAAAAAGTCTAAAATTTGATTTTTGAAGAAATCGCATTTTTCACATTGTCTGATATTTCTTTTATTTAGAAAACGTCTCTACCAGAGGCAAATCATCCAAAAAAGACTGTAATTGAGACCGTCACCTCCAAAAAGAGTTCCCTCTTCTCTTGTCCGGATTCCAAATCTTCCGAGTCTAATGGAGTCTCCAACATGACGTCACATGCAAAAAACGAGATCATCACAACTTCAGTAACCACTCAGAAAACTTCTATCTCTTCACTTCCCCCTCGGAAATTGACTTCTCAGGCTTCTAAAGATCTGTCGCCTCCGAAAACTCGAAAATCTCCAAGCCCAAGTCGTGCTGGTTCTGGAGATTCTGCATCCAGAAAGGATTTGTCAAACGCGGAAAAAATGGCAAAGGATTTGGAAAGAGTCAAATTGGAGAAAACTGGTATTTTTGGAATGGGAAAGGATTTTGAAAAACAAAATTTTAGTTAGAAATTTGGAAAATGGTTCCCAGAATATTCCTGAGCTTCTGAATTTCCAATTGTCCATTTTTCTGTAGAATTTTGATTTTCCAATAAATTTCTAACATTTTCAGATTCCCGTGAATCTGTGACCCTCCCAACACCGAAAGAATATCCGGATTCTGATGATGAGAAGGACAAATCGGTAAGTTAACGTTTTCTATCATGTCTGACTTGCACAGATCTAAAACACGGGAACTACCGTAATCCTGATTCAAATTGAACCCCTTCTGACATCAGAAAAAAGTTGATTAAGCTCTGAAAACCCGGGTAGAGTACGTCTGGTCACAGAAAGTGATAGGATTAATAATTGATTTGATCAAAAAGTACTCGCGACCCATAATTAAATTTTGCGATTTTTCTAGATACGTTAAGAAGTTTTAAGAATTCGGAGAATCAGATTTCTTTAAGAACAAACGATCTCTTCGTTTTGGAACCACCACTGAATGGCAATCAGACAATTTGGAGAAGTTCTATAAGGAACAAGGAAAGTTTCCAACAGCTGATGCCGTCAAGAAATTCGGTCAAATGTTTTCAATGACCGAGTTGATAGCTGAGGTATGTGCCCTAGAAAACCGAACCTTGATCGATACTATTTTTAAATTTGGATTTTTTTAAACGTTGGTTTTCAGACCTGGCTTGAAGCTCGCCGCCAACAGACATACCAAAAATATGTGGAGAAGGGACTTCAAACCGACCCATCTGTCATTCAATTCTATTGTGAATCTTTGAAAATTGCTGAGGGTCTTCGTTTGGAAAATCCAAGTGTTCAAAACAAATCATTTTTCACTTTGGATGGAATCAATGCATTGGAACAGAAAAAAGAAGAAGAGGAAAAAATGATGCCTTTTATTTCCACTTCCTCGAATAAGGTTTTCGTGAGTGCTTCAAAAGAAGAAAAGTGTCAATTGGCGATTAAAAACGAAGGAAAAGTCAATGTGGTTTATCAGATTAGTATCATGAATGCAGCCAACTACGTCATGTCACCGATCTGTGCAATTTTGCAACCAAACGAGGAATTGACATTGAACATTACTAGAAAGGTGTGAAAAGTTAAATGTAGTTGAAAGAGTCAAAAAATATTTCTAGAAGGGTAAGCTTCTGGACGAAGAGTTCTTCCGAATCGACTACGGTATCGCTCCAGAAGGTATCATCGATGCTCGTGTCTCTGCGGACCGCGCAAACTTCACCGAGCGCGAAATTATCGAAGTCGTCGAAATTGATGAGAAGGAAATGAAACTTGCTCGCTGATCGTCTGGCCCTAAATGGTTTTAATTCAATCAGCTTATTTTGTTTTAAAATAATATTAAATTCCCTTCGTGCAATATTACTTCTGGCAAAATCAAACTACTTTTTTCCTTCCATAATATTAATTTAATCTGCAATCAACTTTCCTAAAAACTTCTCTGCAACTTTTAGAGCTAAAATCAAATAAATCATTTATGCATAATAGAAATGTACCCGGCACAAAATTTAATTTCACAGAAATCCAGATCAATGTTTTAAACGACAAACCAGTCGTTTCGTCTTTGAAAATGATCGATTGATGGAAGAGGGAATGGGAAGAAGGAGATAGGTGTTGAAGAAGAGGATGTCGACGATTCGAAGGGATCATCTGAAAAAGTCGTTGTCAACGGATTTGAGTAAAAATTTTTTTTCGTTTCAGTTTTTGTCGCCATGGAAACTCTAATCAACAGAGAGTACGGAGATTGTCCTAAATCACGCACAGAGCTAATCTAATTTCGATTAGTCACGAGACCAAATCAGACTTTTTGCAATGAAAAGGAAGTTTATGGAATGATTAGATTTTTTTTCTCTCAAATCAATACCTGAAATCTCAGCAACGGAGAAGTCAGAAAACACAATAGCGGAAGGGGTCTATATCATTGAAAAATCAGTGCTGATATTGTAAAACTAGGCAAATCCTATATTCCATAAAGCCTGTAATAGAAGAGCCCTCTAACATTTATCTTTCAGCCGATTTTTTTTCGGTTTCTGTTGGAGATATTAAAAAGTTGTCAACGGATAAGTTGTTCAGCAAAATACCAGAAGAATTTTTGTCAGTTATTGTTGATATCTTGCATAGGAGCTCATAAGCAGATTTACAGATTTTTCTTGGGATTCCTGGGGATTTCGCGATCTGATTACGTATAATATTTGCCGTTTTCAAAGACCATCAAAAACTAACGTTTTTCTTCGTCCAGTTTTCCATCAAACTTCTTCAATACTTTCTTGCTCATTACTACTATATCTTTGAATTCCTGGGATTCCTTCGTTCCAGAATTTTTGCTAAAACTATCAGCCACGGGATCCGGATCTTTTTGTGGGAACAAGGATCGAATAGCTCGAACATCATCGTCACCTGGAAAATATGTTCTAAATTTTTCACGATTTTATGAATGCGCAGAATACAGCACATGACCACCGATTTATGTGAAAAATTAGTTTAACTGAAAGTGAATAATCCAAAAAAAAGCATGTGACCAGAAAATTGTGTATTAGACAAGACAAATTAATCTTGGTTAAATCACTCCAATTCGAGTTTAAACTTAATTAATTACCCAAAGTGAATGCAGGATCATATGGCCTCTTGGCAGCGAACATTGCCGCCCTCGTGTCCACTGAATGCTCCAATCCTAACAAATGACCAATCTCGTGAACAGCTGTTTGGAACAAATTAACACCTTCTGGAGAATTCAAGCTCCACTGTTCTTCGGCATCGAAATGAAGACGCCCGTCACGAGGATAGAATGCGTGGGCTACTACGCCGTCTGGAAAAACGGAGTTGTAAAATGGAAACGAATTCTCATTTTCAAAGAAAAAACAAACGTTTTTGAAAAGTGGTATAGACATTAAAATGTTGAAAAACAAACGATAGCACAAACTAACAATGTAAAATACTTAAAATAAGATTTGCAACGAGTAAGTTTTCCTCAAAATCAGAATTAATTTCAAAAAAACATACCCTGCCCATCAAACGAAAAACCATCGGAGTGTTCTCCTTTTTCGAACGCAATATGAATATCAGGAGGGATTCTTGATATCACATCGGGTGGAATCTCTCGAAAATCCACTGATGAGACAGCTGACCATTCGTTGAATGCACGATGCATGGTGTTTCTGGAAACTGTTTACTGGAAAAATTGAAATTTAGAAGTTTCAGAATACCTGACTATAAAAACATCGGCGTCCATAAGATTCTGTGTTTGAAGTTGCCAAGTTAAGCTGTGTTTCTTCCATCGTTTTGCTCGAATAACTGGAAGCAAAAAATGCACAATTTCAGAGAATTACAACTCCAGAATGTCACAGTATTGCCTTATTTTTATTTTTAGATTATCAGACTTCATGTTAATTTAAAAAACCCTGGTTAGGAATTCGAAATTCTGAGAACCCTAACATACCGTATCTTTTCCCTCTAACTCCCTGGGGTTTGATAAAATCGCTCTCCTCCAACAGAAAATCACAGATAACAATTACAAAACTAGTCGATATTAATAGAAATATTAGACGCATAGATTCAAGAACAGTTTAAGATTAAATGCTTGAAATTATGAATATAAACCAAGAAAGGGAGAGAAAAGAAAGGAAGAACTGTACATAAATCGGAAAAGAAACAGAAGCAGCTGATGATAGATAGAGTGAAAAGAAATAGAGACGCAATGGAAAAGAGAAAACTAGTGTGAAAAAAAGAAAGATGTTGGCATTGGCAGAATGATGAACCGCCTTTTCTAGACAAAGGTCAAGAATCGAAAGTATGAAATTTGTTCGCACTTTTAATCATGAAAAACTTGCCTTTTTGAAGAGAAAAGTGTTCTTGAAGAAGTCTATCAAATAGTGTCATGTTGGGGGAACAACTTGTGTTCTGCCATTTTAAAAGAGAAAAATGGCATATTTATTTATTCGGCTTTCACTTTTCTGTGTGAGGTGTCAATATCTAGAGACAATACATCTGGATAAACAGATATCCTTCTGAGACCAGCTGTAAGCCCGCCAGCTAGTAAATTTACCCGAAGACACACAGAAGCCTTGGACCTAGAAGGTTTCAGGTTATAATGTTTAGATACCACTAAACTGTGTCCCGTTGAAGCCAATCACACAGATTTGGCATTAATCGGACAAAAAGAACCCTTTTTTAAAGTTTGTTTGTAATTTTTCAACCTTCAATTTTTCAAGTTTTTCAGACTTCGTTAAGAATTTAGTCTCCATGTAACCCTTCTTCGAATCTGACAACTTTTCACAACATGTTTTGAAACATCAGAAATCGTGTACATAAAGTTTCATTTTATTTTCAAACATATGATTCACAACGTTTTGGATCAGTGAACACCAACAACACGGAGTGCAAAATTTTTGGAAGAAAACAATACTTTATTTTAAAAAAACAACACACTGCAAATTGAATATTGAGTACCCAATAAATGACAATAATTTGGCTCAATTAATTACTTTTGATATTTTACCTTTTTTATTCGTTCATTTATAGTTTTCAGAAACTGTTAATCCTAAATATCACGAAGAAATACTGAAAATGTAGAGATAAGAAAAAATGCCTTGTTAATTTCCGTATTAATCTTTTTTGATTTCCAAGAACCTTTTTTATACTGAGAATTTAAACCGTTCCAGCAGAAATACCAAATTTAAAAACTCAAAACCTTAATTCTTCCCATCTGAACAAAAAACTGCCAGCTGACACCCATCGCTTCTTCTCATAATTTCTCACCATTTCCTCCTCTCTGTCTTCCAAAAAAATCGAGTTACGCAATGCGACAGTCGGAAGATGAATGGAGATTAGCCTCCTAGTCGTTCATTTCTCTATCAACCTATTCCTTCTGCGTCTCTCGTTTCTCCATACTCTCTCCTCCCAGAGGAAGAGAACATAAAAAACTTTCGCTAACTTATTACAGCTTTTCATGACTTCTTTTTCTTTTGGGGTGAGTGCGTTATTTGGATAAACGCAGACAAGGAAAAGAACAAAGTGTGGACTGAAAATCAGACTGTATCGTTTGAGTTTATTGGGTTTTCTGATGGTCATGATCAAGGACATTAGGAGATGAAAAAATGAAATAAACATAGCAAAAAAGTAATTAAAAGATAGAGGAACGGATCACCAGTTGCGATGATGATGAGAATGAGAGTTAGGTAGAAATCGAACTGAACGTTGGGGACTACAAGCCAGAGATTTAGAGGACGTCTATTTTTTTTTTGATATGTGAAGGCTTCTGACATTTTGACTGTTTCAAGAGAATAATTTTGATATGTATCCTCGTTTTTCATCATATTTAAATTTTCGTGTCTTGTTTCATGATCTCTACTGTAAGCCGGTTTAGCGAGAAATTGTATAAACCTCAATACTCAAAATTTAATGATGGTCACAACCCCTCCTAAATATAATCGAAAAAGTTGAAGCATATCAATAAGTGATAACCAACAGTTCGTATATCCGAATTATAAAAATTTTACTTTCTCACATTCGAAGTTCGAGTTCTGCGGAACCTTTTAGTCTTTGAATTTCCAAAAGCCTCTAAAATTAAACACTTACAAATTTTCTGATTTAGCAAATTTATTTCACAGCTTTAACTCAAGCAATTATTATTCACTTCCTTCTTTTTTCGATTCAATTGGCAAGTTTTTATTGAAATCGAAATCCAAACCGTTTTTCTCGAACGATCTGAAATTTTTTCATATCGGAATTTGAGAAGCATTGTTTCGCCGAAAAAACAAGGGTGTTTGAAATTCCTAAGTCATTAAAAGTTAAGTCACATACTTTTCCGTAATTGGTACAATTGCCACTTCATGGTAGAAAGATTCCTGGATGCCTGTACAATTATGAGAAAAATCAACGAATATCTCAAAGTAATACTGAAAAATCAAGTTTTGAAAAGTTATAGATTTATCCACTCACATCCCAAAGCCCATCGTCCTTCTGAGTTCCATTAATATGATATGACTCTTGATATGACTCAGTGCCGGGCTCCACACACTTTGTGCTATGGTTCATGTAGTCGTTATCCCTTAAAAATCCTTAATTTTGGAGAAATTTGGAGAACCCGCGCCCGCCGGGCCGAGCCGGGCCGGGCCCTGATTTTGCAAGTATGCTTTTAATATTTCAGGTTGTCTACAGTGTCATTTCTTTTTTGCTGGTTTTGCATTATCCAGAATTCTCGAAACTCACAAATAATCCGATTCCAACAGTTCAACCGTATAACACCATTTCTTTTTTGAATCGCAGGATATAGATCCAGAAACGTCGAATTCTGTAGCCAAAGCTACAGTAAGAATAACAAAAGAAACGATGAAAACTTTCATTTAGAAAGGAAACTGATAAAATTTTGAAAAATGACGATACTTTTATATCTCAATTTTTCCGTTTTAGAAAAAAAAAATTAAAATCTGAATCATCATAAGAAAACATAAAAAATGAATCAGAATATTTTTTTAACCACAAAATGTACGAAATCAACATCAGTTTTGAATACGAATCGCTATAATCAAAAATATGTTTTAAATCTCGGAAAAGGAAAATTTTTAGAAAAAAAAATCTGAAATTTCGAAAAAGGTTTTATGAATTCAATCTCGATATTCCAGAACTTAAAATTTCGCATTTCTAATATTTGTAATTCCCAGAAATATGAGAAAAACACTTTTCTATGTTGCGTAATTTGTATTTAAACTCTTTTGTTGATATTTTGGAGTCTGAAAACTGAAATTCGAGTTTTGAACTTCTGATATTATGAAAATAAAGGTACTGAATTGCGAGATTTTCTCACTATCAGCTCGAATATTGTCTGAGTCTTGGAATTAGAACAATGTCATTCTTTAGAATGTTCTTCTGATCCATTTCCTGTAAATTTATTTTTTTGAAATTTGTTTTGACACCAATTTCCGAAACATCAAAGGAAAGGTAAATATCTATTACCTCAAAAAAACCAGTTTTCCAAAGACCTCTTGTTATTTTGTTATTTTTCATGCATTTTTAAAACACCAGAAATTAATTATTGGTCAATCATCTGTAAGAAATGATGTCATCAGTTTGAAAAAATCCGGAAATTATCCGAAAATTTCAGATTAACTGAAAATGGTACAAATACTGATATGGTTCCGTAGGTTAAATACTCCTCAGAGAAAACAAGTGGATTCGGAAGGTTGGCATGATTACACGTCTCGAAAAAAGAAAAAGTGAACAGATCAAAATCAAGGTCACTGAAAGTTTTTCGAGTTCCCGCCCACTTTTTCCAAAGAAACAACACTAACAAGTAGATAGGAAATCATCCACTATATAAAACCTCAATAAACTATTAAATAGCATATTTCCCCTTCCCTGGAAATTACAGACATTTTCTAATTTTTTTTCCCAAAAAATGAAATTCTTAATCTGCCTTCTCTCTGTCTTGGCTATCGCCTCCGCCACAATTTCACGTTTGATGGACTCATGAAATGTGAATCCAAAGGAATCTGGTGCTTCACAATTCGGGCAATGGAATATGATCTGATGTAAGCGTTCAAATTTGAACAAGTTATGTCAGTCAGAAAATGTAGAATCGCCAAAAGTTTGAAACTGTGGGTATTAGAAGGCCTCTGAAAATTCATTCGGATGATCATTTCAAAAGATGAAGTATCAAAGGTTTAAAAGAAGCTTTGAAGTTTGAAATTCGAAGATTTTAACTTTTTAGGGATCTAAAATTCATTTTTCTAGTTCCAACGACGAAATTGCCAAATACAAAAAGTGTAATGGTCCAAATATGCTTTTGGACAAAATGCCAACCGAATACAAGATGTCTGGATCTCAAGACAATGACGGTCTTCTTGATGTGAGTTGATTTTTTTTTTCTGTATTTCATAGATTTAAAAACTTTCCTTTCTATATTGGAAAAAAAAATTCGACCTTTCTAGCAATTCAAAGTCTTGCAGAACTATTTCGAAGTTGGATTCGAAGTGACCCACAATTGCACAGGAACGGAACAATACATCTACACAGATTACGTAGAGGTGCCAGTCAAAGAGGGGTTAGTGTTATTGATTTCTAGTACCCTATTCATCTATTCATTTTCAGAGTCTTCTCAATGTCCAAGAACTTTGACTTGAACGCCAACGATGTTATGCCATAAATAAAAATGTTGTGTTTTATGTAATATGAAAATCTTGTAAATAAATCTCAACTTTTAAAATTTTTTATGGGTAGCTGGTTTAATTTAAAGATATGAATTGCAAGAAAAATGACTTGAATACATCCTAGATTACTTCTACTGAAAATTAAAATGCAATTAATTACGATTCGAATACAATCGGCATATATTTTGGAAGCTGTCTTCTACAAAAAAAAGGCGGTCAATTTGTCATGACCGTAGAACCGAATAGGCTTAGGGAAGTAATGAGAGGCCCGGCCCGGTAGGCCCGGTATCAAAAAATTCTGTATTTTTCAGCCAAATTTTGAGCTCTTAATATAATTTTTTCCATTTTTTTGTTGTTTTGGATTGTTTGTCTTTTTAATCAAAAAATGTCGAAAAAACTCGAAAAATATCACATAAGGGTCCCACCATAAGTCTTTTTTGCAAAGTTCCATACTTGTGAAATGACGGGCCGGGCCGAGGCCTTGGAAATCGGGAAAAGCCAGGCCCGACCCGGCCCGTTACAAGGTTCTCTGAATTTTAATATTTTCGGCCTGATAAGCACAAACTTGATTTCCTTTCCATGAACCAAAATTTTAAGAACCCCTTTTTCCCACGGTAACTTTCAACCTATTCTTTCTAGAATTGTTTTTCTGAAAATCCGATTCCGGTTTTTATTAGATTTTGGAATAATTGAATAATAAAATAGATTTTAATCTTTTATTGTTAAAAAATAATATTGCGATTCTTCCGAAAAAAAAAAGATGAAATCTGCTGATTCAACGCTTTTTCTTGCATAATAATTTCCGACGAATTCTGTATTCACTGAAAGATTTCAAAACAATAAGGGACCAACTATTTTCTGCAAGTTTGAAAATTTCAAACAGTTTAACTTTTGAATATCGAAGCTTTGGAATACTGAAAACATGCTGTACATGTACTGTTTTTGAGCTAAAAATTCTGAAATTCTCAAAATTGTAAGATGTCTTAAAGTATGAGTTAAAATTTTGAGAGAACCCATCAACAAAGAAGAGTCTAGTAGGTACTGAAAAAAGGAAGAAAGGGAAATGAGAATCCCCGTGGGACCCATCAATCGAATCGAACATTTTCCGACAAAAAAGAGACCTCTTTTTTTATTTTTTAGCTAACCACCCCATTACTCTGTTGAAACATTGTCAAGAATTTTTTCCATGCCAATTCAAGATACTAATGTCTCATTTCCTTTTCTGAACATCTTTTTGTATTTTTTACTTTTTTTTCTCCTTTTCGGACAGTTGACATTCATTTTTTGTGTGTTTTGTTCGGAACTTGCTTACTTTTTATTTTTTTTTCTGTGTCAAAAAATTTTGAAGCGTTTCTAACGAATTCAACGGAAAAAAAAGACTAGAAAGAGTTGTCAGTTGAAACTCAGTTTCTTTTTTTCTCGCAGAAGATATGTTTTATGGACTTTTGGTCAGTTTTTAGAATCCAAAAGATCGATTAGAACAATATATAACATGATCGAATTCGTGAGAGCCAGTGGGTCCCAGAATTCTAGCGAACTGCTATTTAAACGAAGAAACTCACAAGTTATTATTAAAACAATACAGCATGTTAGTTGTAGACAACTCTCGGACTCTTATCAATGTGGAATTTTAGAATTAAGGATTATTTAAGTTTCATATATCCGCGGGACCACTGAAACCCAAAAAAAAAACTGAATTTCCTGGAGCTCAAAAATCACATTATCTGACCTATAAACACATTCGGTTTTCCGTTTTCTTTTTGTTGAGTGAAAACCAGAAAATATGAGCAGTTTTGAAAAAGAGTCCCTCTTTTTTGTTATCTCTAATTTTTTGGACATTGAGCCTTTTCTCTTCTTTTTTTTCTTTTTCAGCTTGATATGAAACAAGAAGTGATTGTTTTTGTCTTGTTTTTTTCAGCTTTGAAAACTCCGAAGATCTCCCCGAAATTCTAATTGTTACTGTGCTCCCTTTTTTGACACTATTCTAAAGTTAGGAACTAATTCTATTATCTAAAACAATTTCAAATTCTGTTTCAGGCCTGCCAAATTCAGAAAAATAATATAGTAGAGATAGGATAGGCGAAGAAAGAGACGCAATACTTTTATGAGAATGATGTTTTATTTGATTTTTATGATCAGCACGTGTTCGCTATATGTTTGCTTAGAGTTTTTGAAACCTAGTGTATTGGATATCCTTGAATCCTCTAGGAAAAAGTCCAGATGTTCAAACTCATACGAATTTTTAAAGTTTTAAGCTAGTATTAAAAAGGACAGATTATTTATTAGGATCCCTTTCACTTGTATGGTTTATGACAGACACCTGTGTCTCGGAAAAGACTTTTATTAGTTGCTTTTGATCTCCCGCAGAGTCACTGCAGGTTTACACTTGTAGATAAGACTGATTCTCTTCTGGGAAGGTCACCTCAAGTCGTAGCCCATGCTGATGGCTCGCCACCAACAGACTCAAATTCATTTGTTCCATTTTTAATGTCAATCTAAGCATCTGGGTCCAGTCTTCTATTCACCATTAGAACAAATATCATTTTACTAATAACATTCACCAAATTCGCGAAAATATCGATCCGTATGTAAGGATGTATGTCGCGTGTCATTACGCCCATTCAAAGTTAACCAATTGAGCTGAAACCTGGACAGGGGAATCAGAAATTTTTATTAGTTTAGGCCCGACCCTTTCTATTTTCGAAATTTTGATTTTTAAGTCTTCTGGAGACGTCCCATGGTTTCACCACAGTGAAGCTTGGTGGGCAGAGAGAAAAAGGTGAAGGAAATCCCACACACGTGTATGCCATTTCTCTCACCTTCCCTGTGATGACCGTGTGGTGTGGTGGTTACACAGGTCCTGGGCGATGGTGCGCATAATGGATGGGAGATGGAGGACGCGCCGATGAATTGGGTACAGGGAAAGGGCGCCGGTATGGGGCATATACGAGGCCCGCATCGCACACATATAAGACTCATCGCGACTCATTGTTCGTGATATGTGTCAAACGAACTTCTAGAGGATCGCATATGGATCGGGTCCTTTATGCGCATCATCTCCCACTCATTGTTAGTGATATGTGTCAAACGGACTTCTAGAGGATCGCATATGGATCGGGTCCTTTATGCGCATCATCGCCCAGGACCTGTGTAGCGCGCTATGCCTTTGCTCGAGCTATGCGGGTTCGAGTCCGATAGGTGCCAACGTTTTTTTTGGTTTTTTGTGAAGAGTTCAAAAATAAATATGAAAATGTCCGACTGTTTTTCAATTGGTTTGAATGAAACCTTAGCGAAGATTTTCACAGTTTCATTAGTTTCAAGTCGAACTGGAAAGTTCAGTCGAAGTTTGAATAGTTTTTTGTGTTATCAGCATATTTCGGATAACAATTTGGTAGATAAATCGGTAAATTTTGCACTTTCTTTCTTCAGACGCAAATTCCAATATCCCAAAATGAATAAACGGCGGCGGTTTGTAAAAGTGGCAAAAATGGTTAAGAGTTTGAATTCACCGATATTAAAAACTTTAAAAATTCAGAATTTTAGAGTTTTTGAATTTCCAAGATTTTGAGTCACCGAATTCAGACTTCTTGAGTTTCGAGATTTCTGGATTATCAGAAAAAATCAGAGACGCTGAAATATAGGAACTTCGGACTATAAGAACTTTCAAAATCTCAAATATAGGAACTCTCTAAAGTTGAAAACCAGCTAAGAACTAAAGCTTTCGAAATTAAAAGGTTTCAAACTGTGGGCGTTTGAATCCAAATCTCTGGCCTTACACTTCCTAAATTCACCAATTTCCCGCAGTTCATAAAATTAAACACTCAAAAATTCAAAACTCCAGAAGCTAAAGAATTTGAAAACTCGGAAACTTAAAAATTGGAAAAATATGAATTTTTGGTTCAAAATCGAAGAAGAACCTCCGAATTCGCATATTCCTGGATTTCCGTATTTCTGACTTTCTGAGTTTTCAAAATTTTGAGTTTCGAGATTTTCAATAAAATAGGAGAATAAAAATTCACAGTTTTAACTCCAGAATTAGACTCAGAATTTCAAAAATTAAAAAACCTTTTTTTTTTTTAGAGTTTCAGAGCTTTTTTCCGGAATTTCAGAATTTCAGAATTTCAAATTTTGAAATCCTGGAATATCAGAATTGCATAAATGAAATTTAGAATTGCAGTATGAAAGTTTCGAATTTTTCCAAACACTTAATTTCAGAACTCTTATCTTCCGAATTGCCAAATTTCAGATTTTTTGAATAACATTTTTTTTGAAAATAATTCGTTAAAAAATAAAAAAGGACCCTCTATTAGAAGTCTACTCTAAGAAAGATGTTGAAAAATAGAAGTCTAAGGGCTTCTTCTAAAGGAAATACGGTATATTGACAATTCTTATTCCTCATACACTGAATTTCGCAATTTCCAATTTTCAGGCCCTTTTATAAAATTACGGGTACTGTAACCGGAGGCCAGGAGGTTCAGCCCCGAAGGGCCGCAAACCGACTGGTAATGTTTTAGTTTCCTCAATACTTCTTCAACTATTCCTCGATATCTTCGAAAAATAACATTTCCATTCTTACGTTTCTCTCCATGTTTTTAATTCAGCAGACTAATCATGTCGATGGAATAATAGGAAATTCTAGAAAAACAAACGGATGCAGACAACATGCCATAAACTTTGTCTTCCGATACTCTGGCCACCATCCTCCATTTTTATGATCCAGAGAAGCGGATGGGTCGTTTTTTGGTTGATTACTGGGAGAACGCATTTCTTTTTTTTAATGAGATAGAATAATTGTTTTTCAGTTTAGGACCACAATAAGTACGAAGAATGAAAAATTTCTGGAAAAGTTTTTCCTGATTTCGAAAAAAGGGCTCCAGACAAGTAGCTTTGCAATTCATTGAATGAAGCAATTCCTTATATTATAAACATTATTCATATTTCTTTGTATCTTTTTGTATCTTCTATTATAGATTTTGTGATTTTTGTATCTTTTATC